TAGTATTTATTCGAATAATGAATACTTAAATTAATTTTTTTTTTCAACCTACACTTTTATGGCTTCATGAAACTTTTAGGGAATTTGTTCAATATTTTATGCTAACTGCATTCTTTATGCTTACAATATTGAAAGCCCTTCAACGAGCTAAGTGCTAAAGCCATACAATTTAATTTCCGAGTTAATATTTTAAAACTTTCCAGGACAATCATAAAAGTTATTTTTAAATTATTGATTTAACGTAGATAAAAAATTAACCACTATTTTGTAGCTCAATTACGGGTTTTCTTGAAAAGTTATTAAAAATGGAACTATAGGGTTGTTAAACTCAGCCCATCCAAATATATTCGGTGATAGATACAAAAAAATTTATAGAAATTCTGTTTTTTTTAAAATAATATGTGCATTTTTTTATGTTAAGGGTTTTCTTTAAATTTGTGTGTTAGTAATATATGTACTGACGAGGCAAGTACAAAAATGTTTGTGTTAAAAACAAAAATTAGAGGAACGGATTATTATAATTCATGTTTAGATAAAAAATGTTTTTTCACATACATACAAAATACAAAAAAGAAAAATGATCAAAATATATTATACCCATGTAGATTTTAATAATTCATCTCATATATACATTGATAATTGTATTCAAATACAAACTAAGTATAAAATAAATACTAATAAATAAATGCTCATATTTGAATGCTTTATAAGACTGATTTTGGTTCGGTTATTGTTTCGGCCGTATACTTATTCAAACCGTCGCTGGTGATTATTACTCGTATATCACCTACCTATATTCAATCGTATGTTGTACGGTGTTTGATCAATGTCGATCCCACGTGTGCGCACTTAGTAACTACACATAGACAGTACTCGTTTTGTTAACGGGTTTGTATAAGTTTAGGTACGTTAATGGACTTTTGTCGCCCAGCCAATTCATTCGATCGCATACTCAGACGATTTTAAAATCAAATGCCCATGGTCATTTTATTTAATATGCTGCGTTGTATAGGTAGGTACTTGATTAAAAATAAAATTGATTGTGAACCATGGAATAATAATATACAAATAATTATAACAATTGGTTTCAAATTAAACTCTCAACATCTCTCATACAGTCATAAAATATAATAGTATTGCCTATTCATTTTGATGTTTTACTACATTAAACATAATATATATATATTTATGCCATGTATGTAGTTATATATATAACACCACAGTGTTAAAAGTTATATAATATTACACATTATGAGTGTTATACACGTTATATATACGTACTCTCTCTATCCTTAATAGACATATTTACTAATTTATCAGTCACGTGCCTAATATATACTTCCAAGTTTAAAATATTTCTTGTTATTCTTTAGTGTGCTAATGAAATGTGTAAATATTTTAATTTCATACATTAATAGATTCCTTAAGAATTCCCTATGGACTTTGGGATAATATCTATTGATAGTAAGGCTTTAAATAAATATAACATTGATCCTATAGAATTTATTAATTGTGATAATATGTATTAAGTTTTTGTAGTTTTTATAAATTTTATTAAAAATTTTAAATTTAAGTAGGTATAAATTAAATGTGCCCAAGTTTTATTTTGTTGGTACCTAATTTATTATTTATTTTAAAATAAACACTCCTATAAAAAATACCGTTTTGTTTATCCAAGACCAAAATTGTTCACAAAAAAATTGATTGATATTCTAAAATATCGTTTTAATATTATGTTTGATTTTTTAAATGTTCTCTAAATGATAAGCTTATAAATACAAATTATTGCGTATAAATTCTATCTATAGTTGTGCAGACCGTGTTATTTTTATTGTGTCTATTGTTATTTACTATTATGTCATGATTACTTTTACTATTTTCATTATTTTATAAAAAAAATTTAAAGGACTAATGGCCCTTGCTGTCGAGTTGTATTAACAGATCAATGATAATAAAACAAAAGATTTAGTTGATAAAATGGATATTATACTAACGTTTCCTTTTTTTGACAATTAAATATAACTAAAAATAAAAATAACTTGTAATAATAAAATATCCAATTTTATTGAAATTATTTTTTTTTTTATGTATATTGTATAATGCTATATAAATATTTATGTCGGTACATTTGTGTATATTAAATTCGCAAGATTTGCTATCGGAATAGACGAAAATAGAACAAAATGAGTATTTATATAATTAAATAACAGTGAATGACATGTCTACTAACAAAAATAATGAAATAACTCCACTCTGTGAAAGAAAGTTCAAACATTCTTTGTAATATTTTAGATACTAAACGTGTTTTGAATAATATCAAAGACTTTTTCATTTTCAAACGAAGAAAATACTCATTAGAAGGCAATCTTTGAAAACACCTACCAATGCTCTTTGTACCCCAAACTATTATTGGTTAATTGAAAATTAAACATTAATAACATAATTACATATTGACATTAGGGACAGAATTTGGAGTAAAGGTTACTGGTTCGATAATATTTGGCTCTGACGCCCTTTGTAAACAATACACTATCTTAAATAATTATAACTATTAAAAATAAATAATTTAAAAATGTGCTGATTAGTGTTTTCAACTTGTCAGTTATTCAGTGATCGTTGGGCGGAAACGCATATACGTAAATTATAAACTAAATTTTATGCGAGTTATATAAAAATTATACTGTTGTATTGTAATTAATTTTAAAATAGGGTAAGTAGGTACTAAGTAGTTACACGTCGTGTTTATTACGCTTAGGCATTTCAATGAATATATTTTTAATTTGTAATAAAATTTTTTTTATCAAATATTGGTAGCAGAGATCAGCTAGAATGCATAGAACTTAAAACCTATATTATGTATTAAAGCTAAATTTATTACTGTGATAATATATTTTGTTTTAAATAATTAAAAAAAACTTCTCAACGCAAAATATGGTTTCCTCGTATTTTTCCTATCTATTATAAGTTACAACTATAAATTCAGTTTATGACTGTTACATGGAGATAAACATTCTTAATAATGATTTAACTCACGTAGTACGTTACATAATTCATTTTATATATGCATAATATACTGATATGAAATTATGCAAATTGAAATGTTATCTTTTTTTACTTTAGTGTAAATTAATAAATTAACTTGTACTTACAAATAAAGTATTGACAATTATTACAAGTACAAGTGCCTTTATAGTTTTAAGTATTAAACGATGTTTAAAATACTCTTTTTCATCGGACTTTATGTTATATACTTATTTATATGAATGATCAGATAAACAATGAATGAGTAACGTGAATGTATTAAGTACCTATATATAATATAATTGAAGTATCTTGTAACGAATTAAAATTCTTCGAAACGTCGATAATGGAGATCAAATAGATATAATTTACATTATTATGCAGTAATTTATAGTACTTAAGAGGATACTATTTGTGTTTTATCACGAACCCACGCTCAACATTGCAAATTTTCGTTTGGCAGAACTAACTCTGTGTTATTAATTTTAATATTAGAGTGAATTCACCTATTGTCAAACTTAAAGTTAAGAACGTTACTTGTACTCCTATTTTTTTTCTCCATTTTTTAGTATTTTAATTTGTTTATAAGTTATATGATCATCTAAATTATTACAATTTAAAAATGCTTATAAATTATATAAAAATTAAAACACCGTGAGGAAGCCAACGTTAGGGACACGGGAAATTTTCTTAGCTTAAAGCTTGATAATAGGTGAATTTACTCTAATATTAAAATTAACAACAGGGTTAGTTTTGCTACATATATATTTGGTATGTTATGTGGGGCCACAGGGCAGAGAGAGAAAACAAAATAATGGTGCGCTAACATCCTCTTATAGTAAACTGAAAATAAACTTACCTCTTTGCTTTAGATATTTAAATTTATAAGCTCATTATAGTTTTGATAACTAAGTAAAAACGCTTTACATAGATTTAATTTAATACAAGTAATATGTATGATATGAATATATGATACTGTACATTTTCTCTTCTACATCTTCATAAATATTATATTTGCACCTTGAATCTTGACCTTACACATAACAAATTCGTGTTTTAGTTTTTCTTTTATCTTTTTGCGAATGAAATTAATATCATCGTTTTATTAATCTGTTCGACTGTCCATTAATTGAAAATAAGCTTACCAACCAACTACAAAAAATAAATAATCGCAATAATAATAATAATAATTTTTCAGAACATAGTTTAAATTGCATTATGGATTATTTTTGGCTCAAATGATATAATTGACTCTAGATGCAATGTGGAATATAAATATATACATAGGTTCAATTAAATAATTGTTTTGTAGTTCACTGTTTAGCGTATGTTTTAAAATTAATAGTAGGCTTTTTAATAATTGATAAATGGTGTTAAGTGTTAATAGACTGTCCACATGGAATTTATGCTAATCGTTTAAGAAAATTAATAAAGTGTAAATGTACTCACTAGAGGTGACTCTGAAGTTAATTATTGCTTATTTAGTATGATAATAAATTAAAACGACATACACATATTATTTACATACCTAGATAAATACAGTAATAATTAAAGTATATATATTATATAGTAAAAACGTATATGATTTTGTTAAATATTAACTCCATAGTGTTTCAGACTCTAGTGTCTATGAATCTATATACCTACTACGATCTAAACATTTAAGAATATTCAAAAGAATATTTATTGTTTGGCTAATCTTAAACGTATAAATTATAAAATCATTGATCATTGTGCATTGATAGTATTATACATTTAAATGATGGACAATTATGAATATAGTATTTAATTAGGTATACTTTGTTAAAAAATAACCAATATGAATCTCAATATCTCTTACAAATATCTATATAATATTTGGTATAGAATCATTGGACTTAGCTAGAATAATTATTATACTCGTTGATGTAAAATTGTAAATATTTTGACCAACACGTTTCAATAAACATTTTTTAATAATATTATGTTGATGTTAACAGACAAATTTTGCTACCGGTTCAAAAGACATCACTAGCACCACTGCAGCGGAAGCAGCAGGAGGTACTGCCGCCACTGGCGGTAAGTTTGCCGACGTCGTATGTCTGTCGTGTCATTAACGACAAAAGCAACACGACGTAATTGTATAAAAGTTAATAGGTATAGTTATATACATATTAATATTATATAGTATTAAAACTTATTTTAATTTAAATTGAACTTGACCCAATTTATTCTCCTACTGTATTTTTTTATTTACTAATCTGATAAACGTTGAAAGATTAACATTTTCAACTGGACTTAGTGTTTTTCATTATTTTTTTTTTGAATGAAGGAAATTAATAAAATATTAATTATCTAAAAGCAAATGTATTATTTTTTGAAGTTGACAAAAGTCGAATAATATTCATGATATATTTTGGTTTTTGAAGTAACTTTAAACCCTATAAACCATAATGTAATATTCAACTCGTTTGTACCTAAAAAAACCTTTAGAGAAGTTTGAAACTTTTGAAACATGGAATAGCCTAAAGTTGGCCATGGAATATTAAATTACCTAAAAAAAATATAATTTATGGTTTGAAAGTTTCATGAAGTATATAATTTTATTATTGGTATTCAGAGAAGTGACTAAAATAAAAGCTATACTTTTTGTTATTATTAAGTCCCTACAAACGCCCATTAATTCATATTGTCTAAAAAATAAAACAAATTGTCAAGTTAAGGATTGTGTAAAAACTTATTTCAATTGACTGTTCTACGTTAGTACGTGAATTAGTATTTTTGTTTTTGTGTACTTATAATTATTATAATATGAAATTTAATTTAATTACTAACGATCCTGCGCTAACGACTTAGTTATATTTTCTATCATTATATTCTTAACCCCTATATTATTATCGTTGGGGTTAAGCAATTGTATCATTGTAATTAGAGAAAAACACAATACAGAAACCTTTAGAAATTTTCATTTATAATGTATTAAGTACGAAGAGATTTCAGGTATTGAATACAGTAGAACTTCGATTAACCGTCACTGTCGGGACCGGGGCTATGACGGTTAATCGAATAGACGGTTAACGGAAATTTTGCAAAAAAAACGTGTGCATACATATATGTACACACATTTATTATATTTTTTACGTGTGTGTACTTTAAAAAAAAATTACTTACATATAACATATAAATTAATTATTATAACACATATAAATTATTAACATACATACCACTCATATTATAAAAAAAATCTGTAATTTTAGTTTGATTTTTTGATTCTCTAGCTTTTTTAGCAGCAATATTACGTATTTGACGTAGAAGTAAGACTTGCGTAGCATTTGACAATCGTCTAATTGCCTAATTATTTATTTTTTTCGGCGATGACCGATGACGGATAACAGAGAGTGACGGTTAATCGAAGTTCTACTGTATATTAAAAGAGTATTTATGTGTTTCAAAATATTACAAAACAACATACTAAATTTTAAATTATTTTATTTCCTTTCTACAACAAGATAAATATATTGATCATATTTGTGTAAAATTAACTATTAATTCCATTTGGAATCGATGATTCACAAACGACTTAATAACATGATTAATAAATATTGTTATTTTTACATTAGTTTATTGTTTAGAATTTATACTGTCAAGAGTTTCCAAATCTTTGAATGCTTTTTCTCACAAGTGTATATTTAGTACTTGCATGCTAATATATAACTAAAATTACTTTTTATGTATCCATTTTTCAAATTAATAATATTGCATTACCTATACTAAATTAAAGTAGTTAAATTGTATGATATGTATACACAATTTTGGTCAACCGATTCAAACATTTAAAATATTCAAAACTAATGAACCCTAATCATAAATAGCTGTGTTTAATTACAAAATAACTCTTAAATTAAAACATAATTATCTTTGAAAACTTGGCTATAAAAATAATAACTACCTTGGTAGTATTTATGAAATTATTCTGATGTATACAAATTGAATAATACTATACCTATAGCAATTTATGCATAATATATTTGTCGTTGTCTTTTAGAATACGATGAATGATAAATACTTGCTAAGGGAATCGCTATTAATATTAATAGAATAATATATTTCATAATATTAAGTGATGTAGGTGGCACTGTTAGATAAAAATATTTACAGGGTACGAGATCATTATGTATGATTCATACAGACATATTACCATGGAAAACAAATTCAAAGAAAAATACACATTAATAGATGGAATTGCATAATTTATGCGATCATTAACATATATAAAGGAGTACCGTAATGGCGTTATGTATATTGTCACATAAAAATAATTGTTATTGATTGCCCCTAATTATTTAATTATTTTTTAGATAAGCAAGTACAAATGTATAATATTATGATGTTATCGTTTAATTCAACCCCCGTAAGCCAATAATTCTTGCATCTTTCGAACTATAATATAAAAAAAGCTCGGGAATAGACCATAACGGTGACGGATCTGTGGTGTAATTTTTCAAGCACTTTTGCAGGTTTTTTATATTATTTGAGTTTGGAAACATTTACAGGAGTAATTTCAACATAACAAACAAGTGTATATAAAGAAAAATGATGTACAGCGACATCGCTCTGTACTTACTATTACTTATTTATATATATTACTTACTATTATTACATCAAAGTGACTAATTCTGTAGTATACTAAATTGGCACACAGAAGTTAGGCAATAAAAAGTGAATAATATATTATTTTTTAAATGTTTTTCTAAAAACAGAAAAACCAAAAAATCAAATAATTCTTTCTCGCTAGAATCTTAAATAGACAAAAAACCTAACCTATTACGAGATAATTTGGTGATATTTTTTTTTAGCCCTTTGAAATAAATAACTTTTATCTATCTTAGTGTATTTTTTTTCCTTTGAGCAACATTAACTTCTTCAATAGTACTAAAACGTATTTTTTTTTATAACAGAATGGTTTATTTCATTTCGGAACCTTGTAAACAAATATACTTTTTACATTATTAACTAAAAAAATATAAATACCTAAAAATCATTCATCGTTCATAATATTTACTAAGGTTTCTTCAGCCGTAGATGTATAACTTCTTTCACAGTATTTATTTTATTATTTAAGGTTTTAAATTTTTTTTTGAAACCCTTTTCGAAAATAAACTTTCTTAAATTATTAAAAAATAAGTACCTAGGTATAGTAAAGCTTTTATCTTTTACTTTGACTCAATATATTACACGTTTACACTCGTCATGCATTTTTTCAAATGTCTCGTGTAAAATATATTTTATCAAAGTGATTAAATTTTCAATTTAAAATACGGCTGAAAAGCTTCACTAATCGTAGGGGCTTTATAAATCTTTGTGATTTCGATGATTACATATTTAAATTGTATTGTTTTAAAATGAATAAGGATTGATAACCATAAATGTTAAATTGAAATAAAAAATAATATCATATAAACCCTCACAATAATAAATTAAAACGTCGATTATCATAACATTATTATTAAATTTTGTAATAGCATACAAAATTAACATTTATAGGACCAAATATATGGTGTTGTGAGGAATAAATAACAAATTAAAAATATTGATAAAAATGTTTTAATTAATCTATTTATCTTTGTGATATGATAATTTTTACTAGAAGAAAACAATTCCATGTACAATGTTTTATCTATATAATATACCTTGAAGTATTGTAAAATCAATAGAATTGTTGTGTGATTATACTATTTACAAAATACCATAGCTGAACACACCTGAATTTTAGTGCGTTCATAAAAATAATATTATTTTAAAGTACAGTTTTAATAAAAATTATTTCTTGTGTATCAACACATTTCTCTTATATGAGTAAAATATTAATAAATACAATAAGTACGACCTATATGTAAGATAATTTATTGAAATAATATACAAATAACCTACAAACCTGATAAATGCTCCATTTTTACAACAGAAACAACAGCTGTATTCAAGCTATACTTTTAATAACCAACGATGACTACCCTAAATATATCATACCTACTCAGAAATACACCTAACATAGTGAATGGTGTAAAAATAATTTCAACCTAGGTGACATGGCAACGCCCATTAAAAGCAAGTTAGAGGAAGCCATCATAAAAATAAACAAATAACTTTCATGTAACTATAGGGTACTGGTGTAGACGGCAACGAAATAGCAGAAAATCAAGCCAAAATAGAACTTAAACAGCTAAGCTGGAAGGAATATGCTCTATGATATTAAAAATTACATAAAAGCAAACATGTAACATAAATGTCGACTACTATGAAAACAACAAAAAACCAAATTAAAAACAGAACTTTAAATGGAAAAACTCCAAACTCAAATGAAATGAAGAAATTGCTATAAATCGCCTTTGAATATTTTAAAGGGAACCAAGTTGGCCCCTCGGATTCCTTATGTTCAAAAAAGAACGTGTAAAGTTAACCTTTCGATTAAGCACACAATATCTGAGTTCCGGAAATACAAAACCAAAAAATGTATTCAAACATATTTCAAAACCTTGACATCTCTTGGTCCGAAATTCCTAATCCGAAAAACAACAAAACAATCATACAATTTTTAAAAATAACCAACTTACTCAACAAAATCTATTACCATATGAAAAAAATGTACCAATTTATTTTTATTTTCACGAAATTTCGTATTCTTCCCTCAAACCACATTCAATTTAATATTGTAATTATTTAAATAACACTGTCACGAAATTGAACTGTGACTAATAGATTTTACCGCTGATGTTTCCTCGTGATAAATAAAAGAAAAAAAAGATTGACTGTAATGAAATTTACTGAATATATTATATTCTTGTTTAAAAAAAAAATAAGAAAGAATTATATTTTAAATAATAACTGAATGACGTAGAGTGTTAGTTAATTATTAAAACAACGAGTTAATGATGTCACAACTGAATAAATTAAAAGTTTTATCTCTATAAGCTCTCAAATTTTCCCTTTAATATAGCTATTTCTTTATTTAGTGTTTTAATTATGTATGCGCAAATCCCAATGTTTGCTTAAATTTCAAGGAATTTTTCTGCAAGGACTAAAAGAAAGAAAAACTAATCAAGAATGTAACTCACATTCCCTACGAAAACTGCTCGTAACAATATACCTTGGAATGTCAACCGTAATAACATGTGTGCATAAATACATAATACATTTAATGCTGCATATACTACTAAGTTGTTCTTATTATTGTATTAATAAACGATGCTAGATGAGGGTCAATCAAGTTCGGACCCCTCCTACTGATGTAACTATAGGAAAACAATTCCTAATACATTATTATAATAATATACAGGGTATTGGTATTTTAATCGAAATAATTAATTTATTATTTTCCGTTATGTGTGGGATACCTAGGTACTCTAAAAGTCTTACCAATTTTGAATGTCTTTTCCAATCGTTTTTATTTCCTATAGTAACCAACCGCCTCACTTATCATATGCGAGATATATCACCTGTATCTTTAACAAATAACAATATATTAATATTATTGTACAATGACTGGTTTAATTGCTCTGCATTCTAGACCAAAAAAAATTATATTTCTGATTACCTAATAACTTAGGTATAATAATATGGTCGATCAAGACGTATTAATAAATTACACATTAGGTATTTTAGCTGTGTTATTATTTATTTTATTTTTACTGCGTTATTCCGTTTGTCATTGCCCTTTCGAGACAACCGCCATCTTTGGGTTCGGCAATGTTATTATAATATAGTGGTTAACAAATTCTAAATTAATATAATACGCTTGTGTACAGTTCGTGCGTCATTGCTATCTGGGATCATCTGACGGCGGAAAGCGTAAGCGTTCTCGTATTATATTAGTATAATATAATATTGTATAACATACATTCGCCGACGCCGACGGACGGACAGTAGGTGTAAATTAGTAACGTCCGGTGATGATGAGTACAACAGTGGTAGTATATGTATATATTTATGTCAATAAATGTATTTAGTTTGTGTGCGAGTGAGGTGGTAAATGTGGCCAACGGCGATGTGCATTCGGTGGTGTTGATTATATAGACGTACATACGCTTGCTGCTCGTACGTACCAGTATGTGATCCGCAACTTTATCCCGTTTTATAAATTGCTAAATTAATTGGTACTGTTATTGTGGTAATAAAAAAAAAAAACTGAAATTCGTTTAAAAACTTAATAGTCGCAATAATTATATGATGAAAAAAAGTAAAAAAAAAATAACCATAATAGGTCATGATAAGATAATGATGCGTTAGACTCTATCGGTTAGAGTTAAACTCTATTGCGATGAACGGCATTTACAAATACGGATAATAATTTTTAATTTTTTTTTTTTATAAACAGATAAACAAATATGGCCACAATAGACGGGCGACCCGCCCAATATGGGGTAACGTTAAAACAATTACGTGAGCTCATGGAGCACAGAGGTCGAGAAGGAATCGTCAAACTAAACGAACTGGGTGGCGTTCAGGATGTTTGTAAAAAGCTGTATACATCACCCAGTGAAGGTAATTATTAGAATTTAATCAATGTTATTTGTGTATTTTTAACAAATAATTGTAACTCTATTTCGTTGTTTTTAATACGTTTTGTAGGATTAAGTGGATCTACAGCCGATCTGGAGCACAGGAAAGAGACGTTCTCCTCAAATACCATACCCCCTAAACCTCCAAAGACGTTCATGCAACTTGTCTGGGAAGCTTTGCAGGATGTCACTCTAATTATTTTAGAAATTGCTGCTCTCGTATCATTGGGATTATCACTTTACAAACCAGCCGACGAAGAATGTAAGTTTTTTCCGAAAGTGATGTGTAAATAGTTATTGTTTTTTTATATATTAATACTACAATTTTCGTTATTTTAGCAATGGGTGCAGAAGACGATGAAGCAAAACATGGATGGATTGAGGGATTAGCTATATTAATATCCGTTATAGTAGTCGTTATTGTAACAGCGTTTAATGATTATACAAAAGAAAGACAGTTCCGTGGTCTTCAAAACCGTATTGAAGGTGAACACAGATTTAATGTCATCAGGGCGGGCGAACTGCGACAAATCTCTGTAGGAGAAATAGTAGTTGGGGACATTTGCCAGGTAATTATACTTTGATAACTTAATCAATATAAATAGAAACCAAACGTCATCATTATTATATAGATTAAATACGGAGATTTGCTACCAGCTGATGGTGTGCTAATTCAAAGTAATGATTTGAAAGTTGATGAATCTTCTTTAACTGGTGAATCAGACCACGTCAAAAAAGGAGAAGCATTCGATCCCATGGTTTTATCAGGTATGAATAATTTAAATTTTAATTGTTAAAGAAACCTAATAAATTTTTTGTGCTTAAGGAACCCATGTAATGGAAGGCAGTGGAAAAATGTTGGTCACTGCAGTGGGTATAAATTCTCAGGCTGGGATAATATTCACACTCTTAGGCGCAGCAGTGGATCAACAAGAGGAAGAAATGAAGAAACAACGGAAAGGTAAACTGTTAGATCTCGTTCAAACTTTGTGTAGTTATAAAAATACATTTCTGAAGATAGTTTACTTCTTTACATTGTTATTCTTAAAATTCAAGTCTCGGAAAATTATCCAAATTTGTGTATAATATTATATGTATGTGGACTGTTCAAATAGATGTGATGGCATGTAACAACTTTTATTTTATACTAATTTTACAATTTATTTGATACATTGAAATTCGATTTACTAACTAAGTAATTAGTATCTGGGATATTTTATTTTTTTTAAGATTTTCTAAATGTCTGTCATTGATATTTTATCATACATAATCCATTTATTTTGTATTTATTAGTAATATGCATAGTCAAATACTAAAAAAACTATATACGACAATACTGGAAATTTAATTTGAATGGCTGGCGACAGTGATCAATTTCACCTGAGGTTACCTATTTAAAATACCACTTAAAAATATAGCATATTGTATTAAGGAGATGGATAGGCAACCACTAGTGAAATTGATCGCCACAGACCTACAGTGTCTCAAACAATTTTTGCTAGTTTTCCATATTGTCGTATGTATTATTTAGTATTGTACCCTTAAATAATTTAATTATACTTATTGGTACTGTTCATTTTTTTCTTCAACTAATGATTATATTAAAATAGTTCATTAAAATTAAATATTTTATAAATAGAAGCCAAAAAACTCAAGACAAAGAAGAGCTTAACTGATGAAGTACCACCTACCATCAACAGCCATGCCACTGATATCGGTATGAAACAAATGGATAAAGGAGCTGAAACAGATGACGATGCTGCTGAAGGTGGAGGAAAATCTGGCGAGTCAGAAGAACCAGCAAAAAAAGACAAGTCTGTGTTGCAAGCTAAACTCACAAAGTTGGCCATTCAAATTGGATATGCTGGTAAGTAAACCAATTGTTATCTTTTAGATTTTATATAACACATATTTTATTTTCATTACTAGGATCAACGATTGCCGTACTTACTGTGCTTATATTGGTAATTCAATTTTGTATTCATACATTTGTCATACAACAAAAACAGTGGAAAAATCATTACGCTGGTGAATTTGTTCGTCACCTTATTATTGGTGTCACTGTCTTGGTGGTGGCTGTTCCTGAAGGACTTCCTCTCGCTGTTACTCTGTCTTTAGCGTACTCAGTCAAGGTAATTAATATCATTGTGTTATCTTCATTGTCATCATTTGTGTTTATTAAAAAAAAAGTTGCACTGTATTTTTAATTATTAATATTTATTTTGTAAACTATGTAGAAAATGATGAAAGATAACAACTTGGTAAGACATTTAGACGCTTGCGAAACTATGGGTAATGCCACTGCCATTTGTTCTGATAAGACCGGTACACTAACAACAAACCGAATGACAGTTGTCCAGTCTTACATTTGTGAAGTTCTCAGTAAAACAATGCCTCAATTTGCATCCATACCATCAAATGTTGGAAACTTATTAGTGCAAGCTATATCTATTAATTCAGCGTATACGTCTAAAATTATGCCACCCGACGATCCAACTAGTGAACTACCAAAGCAAGTTGGTAATAAAACTGAGTGTGCACTCCTAGGATTTATCCTTGCTCTTGGTAAAAATTACCAAACATGGCGTGACGATATACCCGAAGAAATGTTAACACGTGTATATACATTTAATTCCGTGCGGAAGTCCATGAGTACAGTCATTCCAAGAGAAGGCGGTGGCTACAGATTATTTACTAAAGGTGCCTCTGAAATCGTACTAAAAAAATGTTCGTATATCTACGGTCGCGATGGTCGATTGGAGAAATTCACACGTGAAATGCAAGATCGTTTGGTGAGAAATGTCATTGAACCTATGGCTTCTGATGGCCTTCGTACTATTTCTGTTGCGTACAAAGATTTCATACCCGGAAAAACCGATACGCCCAACCAAGTGCATTATGAAGGTGAACCAGACTGGGAATCCGAAGACAATATAGTGTGCGATCTCACTGCACTGTGTGTTGTAGGAATTGAAGATCCCGTTCGACCAGAGGTAAAATTTACACTTCCTTTAAATTTAAAGAAGATATGTTGTTTACTTTGAGTTTAATTATAGGTGCCTGAAGCTATTAGAAAATGTCAGCGAGCTGGTATTACTGTACGTATGGTTACCGGAGATAATGTGAACACAGCCCGATCAATTGCTACCAAGTGTGGTATATATAAAACTGGTGAAGACTGGCTTGTATTGGAAGGCAAAGAATTCAACCAACGAATTCGTGATGCTAATGGCGATGTTAGTTTAATTTACTATTTTGATTTTAATAAAATATGTATTAAATTGTTTTGTTCTTACAGGTTCAACAGCATTTATTGGATAAAGTGTGGCCTAAATTGAGAGTATTGGCCAGGTCATCGCCAACAGATAAATACACACTGGTAAAGGGTATTATTGATAGTAAAGTGAGTGAAAGTCGTGAGGTAGTGGCAGTGACTGGTGATGGTACCAATGATGGTCCTGCATTGAAAAAAGCCGACGTTGGATTTGCTATGGTATTAAATATAAATAATTATACAATAAAAGCTAAAATAATAATAACTATATTTAAACATAACACTTAACTACTTATTAGTTGTAAACAATTTCTGTTACTTGTATGATTTATAACAGTTTGTAGTTTAGTTATTTAAACAAAGTAAATGGGTGTGATATTTATTATTAACGATTATTTAATTTAATTTGTTGTAAATTATATGTACCCAAACTATACTAATATACTGTTTAAATATCCATGTCCCGTAGTCCGTATCATTTTGACATTAATAAATCACGTATATTTTTGTTTTGAAATTTAATACTTAAATTAAAACTTTAAATTTCGTTTGATTTCTACCATATGAGGCCCAACATAGGAAGAATGCCATGGTCACTTATTAAATTGTTTTGTGAAAACATCACTAACAGTTAAAACTTAAAAGTCAAATATTAAGATTAGCACCTGAGAGCAATCGTTTTTGTGTGGTCTCTATATAACAATTATTGTATTTAATGATAACTTCACTATCCACACCACCGGCGAAAAACTATAGTCATGTGATATTTGTTCGAATACATTTATTAAAAATGTAATTTACTAATTCACACCTGTAAGGCTGTAAATACCATTCATGTGTGTTATATATTTAAAATACTTTCTTAAAAATAACAATTCACATTCATACTTGAGAAAAGACGTTCTCGCATGACGACCGTCTTTAATTGTTTAAAAGAAATGTCAAAATGATTAAGGACGTCCAATTCTCATGTGAATTTTTATTAATTTACAAGGAAAATCAACTTTGGAAAACAAAGAAGATATATTTAGATCGTATTGCAAAATGCTTTTCCCAATTATGCTGTGAAATAAGTTTTAACGTTTTTAGTTTATTTTTATTATTAATATCTATTCGTTATGATATACATTGTTTTGTTGAATTACATAATTTCTCCAACTTAATAAAAAATATAACTTATTAGGGTTTTTTAATAACTTAACGACACATGTCTTATGCTAAAGAACTTTTTTTAATAGAAAATAAACAAATCGTATAAGTAATTTTTAAAATTTTGATTAACTAAAAAAAACTTAATAAATAACTTAATTAATAGGATTACAAATTTTTGAATATTTCTCATTGGTTTTTTCTCATTTTAATCGTTCGCTTAAGACACTCTTATAGTCTTATGTTTGTTTTTGTAGGGTATTGCTGGAACAGATGTAGCTAAAGAAGCTTCAGATATTATTTTGACAGATGACAACTTCAGTAGTATTGTTAAAGCAGTTATGTGGGGTCGTAATGTATACGACAGCATTGCTAAATTTTTACAATTCCAGTTGACCGTAAATGTGGTAGCCGTTATTGTAGCGTTTATAGGAGCATGTGCCGTCCAAGACAGTCCGCTAAAGGTAAGCATAACATCAGACACAATTGTAGTTAAATTTGTCGTTTTTTTTATACAATTTTATGATTTTATTATTAATAATTTGCAAAAAAAAAGTACAAAATATTTTGTTTACGCACTTACCCAGGCCGTTCAAATGTTGTGGGTGAACTTGATTATGGACACGTTGGCTTCGTTGGCGTTAGCCACGGAGTTGCCCACTTCCGACTTGTTGTTGCGGAAACCGTACGGCCGTACGAAGCCTTTAATATCGCGCACCATGATGAAAAACATCATTGGCCAGGCCGTCTACCAATTGACGGTCATCTTTTCACTGTTGTTCGCCGGTGACAAGATGCTGGACATACCGACCGGCCGTGGAGCCGAATTCGGCTCAGAGCCAACCCAACATTTCACCGTCATTTTCAACACGTTCGTCATGATGACGCTGTTCAACGAGATCAACGCACGTAAAATCCACGGTCAGCGCAACGTGTTTCAGGGATTCTTCACCAACCCGATATTCTACAGCATATGGATCGGCACCGTGCTGTCACAAGTGTTCATCATCCAGTACGGCAAGGACGCTTTCAGCACCAAGAGTCTCACACTGGAGCAGTGGATGTGGTGCTTGTTGTTCGGGTTCGGCACTCTGTTGTGGGGTCAGATAGTCACCACTGTGCCTACACGAAAAATCCCGAAACTTCTGTCGTAAGTAAAATGCTCGTAAGCGCTGAGCCGGCTGTGACAGTCCTGGGGTGTCACCTACCCCCCCCCCCCCACTCATTAACACGCCAACAACATAATATTTTGATACATTTAATATTAGCGATATTCGATGTGTAGTTAGTAGCTAATAGTTAGAATTTAATCTCGGTTCGTATCGTGCAAGCCGTTTTAGTTTAAATGAATCTCTTTTGTTCCGGGATAAATTCACAGCACTCTGTCTAATATTAGATCACATAATTTGACCTCAAGTGGAACTACTTAAGGTTTGCTATTTTCCTACGGCGTTGGCGAATTAATGGTGAAAGTTGAGATCTACTTGAAACAGATTTCGTATCCGAGACGAACCCATATAATTATATCATACCCCAGATCAAATGTCGATTAGTACATTCGAGCTTTCCCACTCCCAGCACTATAAATGTCATAGATTAAATAACGTCCTAATGATTATATTGTTGTAGCATTATTATACCGATTGCGAGACGAACCGCGCTTATTAACCACTCTGTCGCCTTGTGATTTTTGTCATTCGCAGATGGGGACGCGGACATCCAGAGGAGTACACCAACGCTATTAACCTAGGTGAAGAGAACAGATACGATCCCGATTCCGGGCAAAAGCCGCGGGCCGGCCAGATCCTGTGGATCCGTGGACTGACCAGGCTACAGACTCAGGTTAGAGCATCATTGGCTGCATCACTGATTGCCGCCAAAATAGGGCGGATAAAAGTTGATTTTTTTGTCTATTGTTCACGTCGTTTTATCTTGTTGTCAATGTCCATTCTTATACTTTAAATCGTCCTTAATTTTTGTTTTTATAGATTATTTTATTTCTTCTTGCCAATCGATATACACGTTACACATAATTTTTTTAAATTAATGTCTTATCGTCGTATTTCTAATATAGTTATTTCGCGTATATCTTCACTGCTGCAGTGCGACCGTATTATATATTTTAACATGATACGATATATTCTTCATGGATACGACAATTTTTTCTCTTCGTCGTTTGTTGTTCGTTTTTCTAAAATTTGTGTGCAAGTTATTTTTACATACATCGTTTTTTCAGTCGTATTATATTGTTACTATATATTGTTACTATACTCTGTCTCACTATCAATTTCGCCGTTTTTCTCTCTTCTCTCTTAGTTAGTATATTACATTCAGTTTTATAGTTTTGTTTTTTAATTTATTTTAATTTACTTTTCTACCGTGGTTTGTACATAACGTTACCGAAATGTAACATTGTCGTATGCGTATACCTATATATTATTATATACATTTTATGACGATGCGTTTTCGTTAACGTATTTTACATGACACACGTCATGTTGTTAACTATTAACGAATTATTAACTAGAACAACATGAGGGGGCGTTACAAGTGATTAAGCCCTACCGAGGGTCCATAAGATTACTTTATACTAATATTAATACTCATCAGTGATCATATATTTCTAATATATGTGTTATATTATACTGTATAACATCGTACTTATATAATCAACAGAAAAAAGGAATATTAATGATAATCAAAAATGACATCACTGATATCCGTGTATTGTATTGAAAATCGTCGATATTTTTTCCTATAACGTTTTGTCGAATTCTTATCGTACTCTATAGTTGGCCGCGGAGTAGTAAAATAGAAAGTTATAAGTAGCTTACTATAATTTTCTATTTTAGTTTATACATATACGTTGTGTGAATAATATATTATATATTATGTCCGTTACAATATATTATCTGTGACGACTGCACGACATGATAATTTTCTTGTACATTCGTTAACTCTCTCCTCCTACAAACCTTGGGGGATGTTGTAAGCACAACTAAATAACCGTGCACGTCATTATTGTGAATCAACAATGGATTTTCATTCATTAGGACGAATTTCCTACAATATACGTATCGTACGACCGATGCATGACACGAGTGATGGGTCCATTTGTATGTTCCGAGTGGTTTTCATCATTAGGTACCTATATACTTATTCTAGTAATTCCTGAATCCATCCAACCGATCTCGTTATGAAACATGGGAAAATTATTATTCAATATAGATTTAATCGTTTCAGTCTTACACAAAAACATTGGTGTTTGAATAATACTTTTTTCTTGGTCGGTTGAAAACGCGAGTTACTCTCCTGCCCATCAATAGCCGAGCAAGCGAGTGAGCCAGCTAAAATCTACCAATCTCCTTCCTTTCATGTTATTTGGAAAAACCTAATAACTGATGTGTTGTATAATAAGGCAAATCTTGTCAGTGTTCTGTTATCATTTTATTTTTTTCGAAAAATCAATGAAATGCTACATAATAGTAGGTACATGTAATATTATACATATTGTTATTAATGAGTGGATACATTTTATGTGCTAGTTTTCTTTTGTTTAGTTTTGCTTTCACTAAAACGATTCATTATAATATATACACTATACAGTAAGTTTCGCTTCATGTGATCGCATTGGTGCAGATTATTTTGATTTTATTGACTGATATATTTCTTAAAACATATTTTTTTTAATTATCCTTTTTACTTAGTTGATTGCAATTGAGTAATTTATTACTCGCCTTATTTACTCATTAGTAATTTATTTTCTATATTTGCTTGACATGAATTTCGCACATGATATAATTAATAATATTATGTGATGTTATTATGATTAAAATGCTCTGTTTTAAAAGCCGTACAAGCCATACATTTGTGGTTCAATTATCCGGTTCACAGCGGTTCTAATAAATGGTAATTTATAAATATATAATTTGTTATAAATACAACAGGTAATGTTTTTCATTTTGATTCCAGTAGTTGATTCTACAAACCAGAGATCTCATAAGGCAAAGCTCACTGTATACCATATTTTCATTATCATTATTACCCACTTTATTATTTGTTGTATAGGATCTAGTAGAATTTACATAGATATATCTAATAAGTAGATAGTCCGCGTTCCAATTACTAACATCATTTTTGGTATATTACACGTTTCTTAAATTAAGAAATATGTATATTATTATCTTTTAATTTGAAATTGTAGATAGTTAAAAATGTACTGCGCGAAGTGTTGAGTTTTTAAAATAACGGATTAGTAATTTTTTGCATCGACACATAGATGCGTATATAAGTGGTTTTATTGTTTTCATTATAGCTTACGAATCATACTTGACTACGAGTTCGGTAGTAGGTATAATCGTCATAACATAAACTATGTTACCGATTTGGCAATTATTCTGTCACTGTCCAGCGTCCTCACCACCCCTAAATCCCCTACCCTTCCACAACATATCTCTAATTATATGGATTGAATAATAATAATAATAAAAAAAAGTGTATACTTATAATTTAGCACCTATATCGTAATTATTAATTTATTGAAATAAATAAAAATAAAAAGTTATTGTACACATCACCTAAAACAAGATAAAAACACACTTCGCATGACACGCGTGTTGTGTTTGTGTGTTTGCAGCTGCGTGTCATCCGGGCTTTCAAGTCCACACTAGAAGACCTGGAAGAACGACGTTCCATACATAGTTTCCGCACCACTACCAGCTCGCGGGGCCGTCCTTTGTCAGACAACATCACGTACATAGACGAGGAACACAACCACCACCACCAAGCTGTCCCTCCTACTAACAACAAGACACCACTCAGTGAGGGATAAAAAAAAAAATAATATTCATAATAACGAATTGTCCTATAACTGTCTTGTGAACGTCACGTTTAAAAAGGAAAAAAATCGAAAAAAAACAACAAACAAACAAATGAGCAATTTCGTAATAATTTATTTATTTACATAATATATTATTATAAATACAATATAATGTATGTGTATACATTATGTAACGATAATTATTATTGTCATCGTTATTTTTTATTTAACTACATAATATATATAATATATAACATATATATATATATATATATATATATATATTTATTTTTTTTACTAACGTTTTTTATCGACTTATTATTATTATTATTATTATTATTATTATTATTACTATTATTAATATTATACTTACGTACAAATTATATGAATTTTCGAGCTTGGGTATATTTTGTTTTCGTTCTTTTTCTGGGATAGAATATTTTTTTTTTTTAACTAACTGGGTGGTTTTCAATCCTATACATTTATATTACATTATATTCTCTCAATGTCTCAATAATATGTATCTCTCTCTCTCTCTCACACACAAAAACACACTCAATTTCTCTCTCACTCTCTCTCTCTCTCTCTCTCTCTCTCTCTCTCTCTCTCTGCCTTTGCGTGTGCCTCCCCACCAACTGCAGTGCATCTACTGGTCAACTTGGGAATTTGTACGCGGTGTCGGCTGAGTATCGGTTAAAGCTTATTTCGTAAACGCGCGGGCTGTGCTTGAATCTTGATGTATAATGCATTGTATTACTAAATGGGTATCGCGTAAAATATCGACGTATTACTGTTCTATACTAACTTTCGATTATATTTCTGATACTTGAGTTGTGAGATTACAGCGTACTGTCTACATAAACATAAAAAAGAACTAGATAGCCACAGTAAAATTGAAGCCGGTCGCTATATATGCCTACAGGGAAATACATATAGGGCATTACAATATATTACAACTGATAAAGATAATGATTTGATATTTTAATCTTAGATCTAAAAACTTAATATAGATTTTGTAGTCTTATCAATCATTATCAAATCTTATCAGTTATAATGTCTTGTAAATATTGCACTGTAGGCATACAGTTGACGACTTCAACCCTCTGACAAAAACAAGATGTATTTGGCTATCTATAGTTGTTACATATGATTTGTAATGCTGAGTTGCATGTGACATGTATTAATTTAAAATTTCATTCTACAATTTCATGGACCAATCATGGGCCACTAAATCATGTTTAAAAGGCCAATTAGGCCACTATTAATTCATTAAAATGCAACCCGGCATTTGACTGTCTGTCACGAAAAGACAATGCTAAAATCGTGTTATCTAATTCTTTTCAAACACATCCACTGTCTAACGTTGACAATCCACGATGCCTATTTAGTGATGCATTAACACTAACAACCAATATTCTTATTTCACACACAATTAATAATAATATTATAATACCACGCTACCCGTACTAACAAAAAAACGGCAATCGGGTTTTACTAACACAATTTACCAATAGGTACATCAATATAATATGTGAGTAGGCTGCGAAGGCAAAGTTATATATCATATTATTTACATATTTAATGTTATATTATATTTATATTATTACTGTTATTATTATAACTATTGTTATATTATTATTATTATTTCATTTATATTATTATTATTTAATAATGTGCCACATATTTACTTAGGTAAATTCGCCTGCGCTAATAGCTATCGTTTAATGTCTTATTATACTATACATTGTTTGATGTCTGGCTCTCTCGCTCACTCACTCTCTTTCACTCTGTCACTCTTATTTCTCTGTCTCCGTATGTCTATACCTTGTTTATTATCTATTTACACACTATATATTACATATTATACTTACTTATAATCACAATCTTTTACGCACATTCGTGATTATGATACTTTTATTATTATTATTATTATTATTATTATTGTTATTATTATTGTTGTTGTTGTTGTCTTGCTCTTGCCGAACATCGGGCATTATACGTTAAAACTTGCACACCAATACTATAATACTATATAATATTTTATATATTATTAGTATTTCTACTTGGGCCACAACGCGAGGTGTGAAAATTATCTCAATACTGCGAAATATGCAGTATAGCTTCGCAAGCGAAACAACGCTCTAATAATAATTCAAAACGTATGGCTTGTCTGGGCGTGGTTCGAATGATGTGAAAAACCAAAACGACACGCTTATCATGTCACATACTGAATGTCACGATAATCATAACATACTCCTTAGGAATTTTTTATTTGAAGTCTACCACCATTGATTATATTGCGTGTCCCTCATATGTCATAAAGATTTTGTTTTTTTAAACTCTAGTGTATGGATATTGAATGGAAAACATTACTTGTGTAATGCCTATAGCAGACATGCACATACAATAATTTCATACCTAACTCCATCTTAATTTTTAGGTTGTATTTTAATGCTGATGGCGATCATATACTGGTGGCTGCTTTGGGTTTCGATCTCTGTGTATTTGTCTGTATATGACGTTTTTGGAAATATGGCTTTTTTATTTATTGGTGATGCAGCGGTTATATATTGATTTGGTTTGGTTGCGTATACGCGCACTTGGTGGTTATCTTCATTATTTCTATCGCACTTTTTCAACCTAAATGCTATATTGATTTCATTTATCCTTATGGTAGTTTATTACATATTTTATAATATATACAGCCAGTTCATGGATCATGTATCACTATAATATGCGTGATATGCAAAGAATGAAATTGTAATTATTATGGATCTAAATTGAAACATTTAATATTATGTTTTTATTCCTAACAGGAAAATAGTCAGTCAAATTATAACAATATATTATAATTGTTATGATTATGTAAAAATTATTAATGCAATGGTAGAAAAAACATATTTAACGTGGTTTTGATGAAAATTATTCGTTAATCTAATACAATTAATATTAAACGTTAAAGGTGATAGGCGGTGAATTGCAAGAACGTTTGATTCCGGTCCCATACAGCAAGAGCTCCACTGACCAAGCTGTAAGCCGCTTTCTTCCTTAAACTGATTTTGTTTTATTTTCTTGTTTTCATTTGGTTTGTTTGATATTACTACTTTTTGGTCTGCTATTACTTTTTCTACTAATGCTACTACTACTACTACTATTACTACTACTACTACCACCACCTCCATTATGAATAATATTTACGCCATGTTTGGCACATATTTTGTCTTCGTCGATTTTGTTGTTGAAATATTTCTACTATAGTAAAGTAAGAGTAACGCGGCCATGATTGTACAGAGGGAATACAATTCAAAAACTTCACTCGTTTGTTGTATCACCGTAGCGATGGAAATCTATTGAAGTGCATATATTTATAACCTGCCAGATAATTGCAGTTTTGTATTTTATAAGGGTTATTAATGATAACGGTGCATTATATTATTATAATTATACACAATATCAAGCTGGTTCATTATTTACCGTATGTCTGTATCAGAGGATTTATGTGCCAAATTATTGTTTTATATATTAAAATGTAAAGTAGATGGATGTACTAACTCATCCAAGCATATTAACTATCTTTATAATTGCCACTAATAAAGTAGTAATTATAATACACACGCATACTAATCAAAGATACGAAATTGTACCAAAGGATCAAAGTTCGGGGAGTTCGGAGTTGATGCATGTTTAATAATTTAATAACTTAATAATTAATATGTTTCTGTCGATATTATTACATTAACTTAAGTATTATAAGGCTGGTGTGTGAGTGCTCATGTGTGTGTGTGTGTGCGTATGCGTGAAAAAGAGTTGATTTATATTTTGTCTGGTATTTTTGTGTGCAATCTTGGTCGTGTTCTCCATAGTTAGACGGGTCAATTGTTCCCTTGATGTTTAAAATGTTTAAATTAATTTTTAAAAAAACTTAAATTATATTTATGATAATATATCAATGGCGTATTCGAGCATTCATTAAAAACGTAAAATTATCTAAAATCAATTTTCAGTATCAAATATTTTCTACGAAACCTATACTATAGCTAATGCCACGCACACTGATTTGTTCTAACCGAAACTGTCGTGTAGGTATATACAAAATAAAAAATATATCTCTAAGATAAAAACTGAACGTGGACTTCGCAAAGGTTAACTCTCATGATCTGCGTTTATTTACTTACTTTATTGTCTGACCTCTCGATAGGTTGCCGAAATTTCATTTTAAAGTTAATACCGACACGTGAATTGCTTAACAATTACGATTTCTGTGGTCCACGGTTTTGGTTGTACAATATGCGTGTGTCAAATTTGCATCGTTGCGCACGACAGACGATCGGAGAACCCAAATCAAGAGCGTATATTGGCATTTATACTCATAGTATTGTTTTAAATACTCGAAAATTGACTAATAATGTCCTATATCTGATGTATTTGAATACGATACAATATGTTGATGATTACGACCATTGAACTAAGTAATAGTAGTAGTGGTAGTAGTAGTAGTAGTATAGTAGTAGTATATAGTAGTCGAGAAAAAGTAATACAAATACACAATGTAATCATAGAATATATATTATATGTACATATATATATATTTTCCATGATTGTATAATATAGTACAGTTATTATACATAACAATAATGACTATATTACATACTAATGCTGCTGCTACTGCTGACCCAATCCTTGAACCCCTTTAGATTTTATTTTTGAAATTTTATTTTTGCACGGTGTGTTGATTTTGATTTTGTTATTTCTTTATACAGCTTTTGGTATCGGTTGTTATCATTATTGTACTTGATAAGTGGCTTGCTTGGCTTTTTTATTTGTATACTCTATATATTTATTTAATTCTTATTTTCCCACGCGCACTTTACGTCGGAGACAATGAATCATCAATTTCTTTCATTCTAAATGCAATTTTCAACATTGTCGATCGCCGTTACGTTAAAGTGTGTGTGTGGGAGTTGTGTGTGCGTGTGTGTATGTGCGTGTATGTGTGTGCGTTTACTGCCTTTTAATATCTTCTTTACATATTATTACCTATATAATACATATATATTTATTATTCAACAAAATAATATACAATTATTTTCGTTATTATTATTATTATTATTAAAACGAAATATATATAGTAGTAGTGTTCAGGTATATATAACGCGAAAGCGCGTACGCGCGCGTGTGTGTAAAGATATATATATATATTTACAACATAAATATATTTATTGATGGTAATGTGATAGGAGTCGAACGACGTTTTCGTCGTCGTTTTGCGTTAAACACATACAAATATACAATTATTATGGTTTTATACCTCATATGTGATGATAATAATATATTAAATAAATTTACACATATTATTGTTTGGTACAATATTCTGGGTTACAATATAAATGCAATTGTTGATAAAAAATATTAACTAAAAAAAAAATCCGGATGCCGCAGTGTTTAAGGGCATTGCAACAAACGCCACTCGCACTTGAGGTAAGGGTATATATTAGTAAATCTAATATATATAGTATATGTATAATGATTATATTTTGTAATTATTATCGCTGGTGTCGCCGCTTAATATTACCTACTCAAAATTACTTAACACAATAATTTATTTTGTAATATATTCCATTTAAGGAATCGGCTACGTCGTTAATAATAATAATAATAATACATAGTATTATATACCTATTATTAATTAGGTACGTTTAATAATAATAATAATAATAATAATAATAATAACGTTGTTTGGATTTTGATTTTTGTTCGGTGTTTATGTGTGTGTAAGTTTTGCGTGCGTGCGTGCGTGCGTGCGTGTGTCGTGTGTGTGTTTAAGTTTTAACGCGTGTTTGTATGATGAATGGGTGTGGATTTTTTTTTTTAAATACACGCGTGATTTCATGCTTTCATATAATAACTGTTGTACTTTCGAGATGATCAATATACGTAATGTTTTACAATTGGCTGCTCGATTTTGAGGTTTCCTCGAGGGACTTTTTTTTTTCAGTGAAAAGCAAATTTCACTGCCGCTTATGCGATGAGTAATGCGAATTATGTGTGTGGATAATTTTTTTTTTTTATATATATATATTATATATATTGATTTTTTCTTTTGGTTTGCACTTAATTTTTTTTTCGATTACGTTGGATTTAAATTATTGTAACGCACACGTATTTCTTTTCAGAGAATGTGGCAAGGTCAAATGGTTTGACCGGTTGTTGTTGTTCGTCTCGGACACAAGGCACCACACACACGTTAATCGATAAATACCGCGATATTATTATTATTATTATTATTATTATTTAAATGTAAAATTATTATTATAATTAATTTTATAATACATAATAATAGACGCGAAACATCTCTCTTAAAACTCAAACGCGATAATATTATTATTATTATTATTATACTTTACACTTATTGATTATTGTTAATATTTTTTTCACTCGGTCTAAAGCCGCCGCTGTTGGTGGTTTTTGTTGTTCTTGTTCTTCTTGTTCTTGTTATACTTGTAATAGTAGTTATGTATGGTTATTATTAATATTATTATGTCATCATCGTTATTGCGTTGATAGTATCACAGCGAATTTTAACTACCCTTCTTTGACGGCGTCTTTAATTTTAGTAGTGTTTTTGCTGCAACGTCGTCAGAAAAAAATCTGTGCATTTCTTTCGATTGCTCTTCTTATTCTTCATCTTTTTACACGCAAGAATGCGTTTGATTAACGTTTTTTATTCTTGATATTTCCAAACTGTCGTTAAATACAACACACCATTAAATAATATGACAATCGCGATTGGCAAAAATATATAATATTAGACCTCTTTACTTTTTTAGTAGACATACTCCGTGAACGTAATGTATTCACCGGGGCGAAAATTAGCGAATTATTTGAACGTGATTCGCCTACACCACTATCTCACAAAAGAGATGAAAATATTGACAAAAATCTGAGACCATCTGCTTACCCAACCACGTGAACGTTAGCTTGTTTCCGTGCAACGATCGAACCAAGTGTAGGTATTAATTGTTGTACTACCCAAAATAAATTTCGAAAGTTCCGGGGCCAATCTCATTAGATTTAAAGTCATCCTCGATCCTTAACCGGGGCTTTAAGACTATACGCACGTTGATGTGCACGTATATTATTGTATGTATGATAATATGCATTTTTGGAATTTTCTGTGTCGTAAGCTGCTAATGTTCGAATAACGTATGTATTATTATGTCAGGCCGACTCGTGAGGATACATCATGACAATATTTCTGTTTCGATATTCTAATAATGATTCCGTTTGTTCCCTATCAGTAAATGTAATGATAATCGTGAACCATTTGACCAAACGAGTGCCACCATACCTAACAAAGTAATACACAATATAGGTACTGCTATTCGAAGTTTTTATTCTATTGTGCGTACTTATATACCTAAAACATACTATGCTGCAATTGACATTTTCGGCAGAATTCGATTTAATAAATGTTGTAATTCCAACTACTTCTAGATGTTAAAAATATTTAATTGGTGTAAGTTGTTGTAACTAACGTGGGCTCAAATCCATTTAACTATTATTTTAGTTATAAAAAAAAATTAATATATACTTAACTAACGCTTTATTAATTATATTAATAACAAATGTTTTAAAAATTAAGAGATTATTATATGTTCTCGCTGCCAACGAATATTATTAATTATAACAATGTTTATAATGACTTATAGTGGTGAGGAAGGGGAATAAATGGCTGTTTAGATTTTATGTACAATTTACTATTACTTATCTTCAAATGATAGTATTTACTATACTTATTATTATTAATTATTATTATTATTATTATTATTATTATTATTATTACATTATATTATATTATTGAATAGTTTTTATTGTTTGTCGATAGTCACCACCGCAGAGCATTATATAGTACTCTTCTTTATTTAGTGTTTACTTATACCGATTTTCAAATTAATTATAATTATCTAGTGTAGATAAACGCTTGCTATTATATAATATAGTTGATTATTATATTATAGGTGGATTCCGTGAATAATTAATGAAACAATGTTTCTGTTTTATATTGAAAAAAATAAAAGTGCACAGCGATATTATTATCGTTACGTTTATTTAAATTATATTATTTTAAATTTATACATCGTTTGGTTTTACAATACATTTATATATATATACATCAACAATGTATTGGTATATCGGCAACAAATGGATACAGACGCAATGAAGTGTGTCACAAACGAAAAATGCCTATAAATTAAAACTGCAAGAGCAGCGTCAACTGCAATGAGTATTGAAGGAAATGATCGTCGCATGTATTAAAAATGGCAACAATATTACACGTATACACTCCCAAGTATGTTAAAAACAGTTAAATGTGTTTTGTTTCTATTTAGTTTACAGCAGCTCACTTACTTGTAATACTTAAAAAAATGGTACCTACTAATTTAATTTATCTTTAATATTTTTGTCTTCAAATTTTATTGTCGACCTATTGTTTAGCCAAAGGCCGTACATATTATAATAGTTACACATTCAATTCTTTGTTGAGTTTGTGTATAAACCTTACAATTTGCATAAACTAATGTTCATATGTTTTGTTTTTCACACGGAAGACAACAATAGTACAAAATATTCTATTATTACGTTTATTTATTTTAACATCAATCATCGTTAGGTATGTTGTATAATAATATGTGTGTTGTGTGTGTGAGCGTGTGAGACGGCGACTAATTACTATTAGTGTTTTTTAAAATAATAATTAATATTGTTTAGACATATTCTGTCTATGTGCGTGTTTCAGGTTACTTATTACAGTAATAATTATTATTACCTAATTCGCTTAATGCGCGTGTGTACATGTCACGCATTGTTTATTTTGATTTAAATTTACTTATAAACACACTTCTATTTATTCATATTATTAATTACCAAATTATTTATCTGCAACGCAGACAAAATATTAAAATATTCGATCCTTTTAAGACCCGTTTCACATTAAAGCGTACATTTTGACTCCGCCTATCCCCTTGCCAGAGTGACAGTATTATATCGTAAATGTAATTATTTTAATAAATTAACGTAATTTGCGAGTGATGATTAAAAAACACTTCCTAGCCTATATTAAATTCGAGAGATACCTCAATTTATTTCATAATTTATATAGGTGATTCTATATTGGATGAATGTCGTCAGTCCGAGTAAAAAAAAATTTTTACCTGCCTACTATATAATATTATAGCCTCCGGAGGTTTTAATTGGTCTGAGATTAATTACTAAAAAAACACACGCGCGCATCTATCATATTATATTATAATACGGAACATTACTGCACGATAATAATTGTAAAATAAAATAGGTACCTATTAAATTCTCCTCTGCAAAACAATTATATTTTAGTCGTTTTTTTTTGTTTTTTTTTAAACAAAATCATGAAACATAAGAAATACTTATTGTGTTGTCTTAATTTTTGTTTTCTCATATGTTCGTGCATGCAAATATACTTACATCATCAATCATCATCATATAATATATTATATATATATACATACAATGTATATAATATATGTCTCATGTATACACACTATCCAACCGCCGCCGCAGCAGCACTAGAATATTTTGTTATTGTAGTAGATGTATTTAAACTTTCTTGTTTTTTCTTTTAAGAGTAATATTATTGCTATATAATAATAAAATATTTATTGGTAGTGCTCATTTGACATATATTTTTAACCGTATCGTAATTTGTTTTTTTCCCTCCCCGCTTGTTTTATATATGATATAATATATCGTAGTTTTTGTTTTTACTTAATATCAAACGATTATTATTACAAATCCCGTCGTTTACCTGTCGTGTTTCGGCTTCCATTTTATTGATACGTTCTGTATATTATTTGGTCTAAAAAACGTAATATCCGATTATTACCAATATTATATTACAATTATATATAACAGTTGCTCGTATAATATATTATATTAACATACACTATTGAAATATTAATTGATTAGATCTCTGTTGACGTGTTCTAGTTCCTCTTATTTTTATAATAATACAATAACAAATCCTATCAAATTTACAGAGTAGTAAAATATTGCGTGAAAAGCTTTGTTTTTTTTTTTTATCAAGCGTATATTTTACGATCCATATCTTTTGTTGTATTTGGTGTGTAATTGGTTTCGGCAATTTTTTTTATAAGTAATTAAATGTCATAAAACCGATGATGTTATAGTCATCATAATAGTAGTATATATTATATAGAGTTGTATAAATACTTTTTTATGCTCAGTTGTCTGTATAGGTAATACCTACTTTTCTTCTTAATATTTTCTCGACTTATTGTATTTGATTGACCGTATTTTTTTATTAACTTTATTTCAAAGATATAATATTGATCATAAATTCTGTGTGTGGTGGTATATATTACCCTTTTATTTTTAATCTTTTATTGTTGCTCTGATTTTACGGTGTTGCTGCTGCTACTGATACCTCAAATTTTACTTTTATTTTACTATATTATACTTGTTAATATTCAATACTATATTTTCACTGTCGCTATACGTGTATATAATATGTGTGTATATAATATATTATATACTTCTAGGCGATTTGTCGTTGTTTTTTTTTCTTCTACTACATAATATAGATAATTATTACTTATTAGTTATTACCAAATGACATTTTTTTGACTTTGAAATTCCCCTGTCGTTTTTTTGCATTCGATTTTTTATAAGGGTACGTTTTATACATGCCCATACTGATTTGAAAAAAAAATATAAGGATAGCAGTAGGTATATAATATAGAATAATCTGCGGACGAGCGTAGTGACGTGCGAGTGTGGTATGTGTGCGCATGTGTAATGTGTAGTATGTGAATATTGTATTTATTAAACTTTAAAACTATAATCTATTATTTTATTACTATTATTTTAATTCAAATTGTATACATGCATTTATTACAATCATAAACACTCAACAATACTAATATTTTCAAAACCATTAAATTCATTTCGATGTCACGGTGTATTGTAAAAAATGACATAATTGCATTGATACTCCCGTACTACAGATCACTGCAGTATACATATACCATACATGCATACACACCATACTTGCAGTGCGCGACTGCACCAATGTGCTGTATATAATATTATGTTACACGTCATGTGACAATAGCATAATATTACTATCATGCATATACGTGTTGTACGTGCTTGCCAGTGATCTAACGATAATAGAAGTGACCTATATGGTGATACGGTATAGTGTGTTTCCGCTTATTGTAATATGATTTCGTCGAGATAACACGTCATAATGATATAAAGATGCTCTATAAAAAAAAAATGTTTAACATTACTTGGATGTTATTATTGTTCATCGCATTTTCGTATGTGCACTACACAAAATAAAACACGTATGGTGGTGATGCTGCTCTAAACTGAGTCTCCGCTGCTGTTGCTCTTTCCTCCCGTTTTCGTGCATAGTGTTGTTTATTACCATATCAATAATATAATAACACTATGCATTGTTTTTCTATTCATGTTCACTTTCAATAATAATTTAAACAAACCCAATTTTTTTTTTTTTTTTGTGGCGATTATTGATTCTGTTCGAAGGTGGCCGTGAAGAATAATAAAATACAAGTTTGAACAAGACAACCTCCGACTCGACACACGCGCTCGACGTCACCGCAGGATTCCGATACATACCGATAAAACCGCGATCGCGCGCCCGCATGTGTGTGTGTCCCGCAGTAGCTAACGCCCCATGTACACACGTCCGTGCTGTGGCTGCTGCTTTTTTTACTACAGTATAACATTAAAATAGGTGTGATCGTCTAATTTTAACATAATAATAAATAATATGATTACAGTTTAATTAAGGTTATTATAATAATTATTATTATTTATCAAGTTTTGTAGTAGGTAAAATCGTTATCTTTCCTCGGCGACAATATTTATTATTAATTTATTATTATAACTGTTGTACCGTATAATACATAATACTACAATTATTATTAGACTTAAAACGATTAGTTTATGCGCGTGTATAGTGGAGTTGAGTGCAAAAAACCAGCAGAGGACTTTATATTTATATTTGATGTACAAATATAGGTATAATATGCATTATTATTATAATATATTATATTATATTATATTATATTATATTATATTATAGTGTCACGTGTTCTCGTTGATGATGTTTTTTTCTCATTATTTTTTCGTCGTCGCAGTTATTATTATTATTATTATTATTATTATTATTGTTACGTGTAACATCATTACAATCATTATTCTCATATATTATATTTAATGCGCGTAGATGCTATGTTTATTGAATACATTATACTTACTCATTGTGTTAAATATAATATGATACGATTAGGATATAATATTATTATTATGTGTATTCAAAATAGGTTAGTATAGTGAGGCTGGTTGCGTGTATTTCTACGACTTGTACAAGTACGCGATGTGCGCGTATCGTGTATTGTAAAATTTAAATACGATTTTTGCTCATCGTCATCAGTCAGTCGTTCGACACGTCATTATCTCGTAATTATTATTATTACTATTATAATTTTTTTTTTAGAATCGTTACGAATATTGTTATTTAGTATTACTAATTTATAACATAGTTTGTACGTTTACCTATATATTACATATAATATATTATATTTATATAGACTTTAGTGTTATAATAGTATCGTTGTTGTTGTTGAGAATATTGTTACCTATACCTATGAAGTAGGATATTATTTAATAATGTTGACGACGGTGTTTATTTTGTATAGTGTTGTTGCCGATGTTCAATACTTTTTTTTAAATTTAATTTACACACGTCACACATTTACAAGACTCATATTTTTATTATAAACATTATTGCGATTACTATATTAAAATAATTATAGTATGTATAATTATATAGAAACAAATTATTTTTTTATTTTATTTTAAGCAACGGCGTTGTAGACGGTAAAACGACCACCCCACTCGGAAAAATAATATACCATATAAAAAACATCGCATTCTCAAATAATATTTCCAACTAATAAAATTACCTGCGACGAGCACAATACGCACCGTGGACATTCCCTTTCGA